CGGCTTTTCCCGCGTCTCGCCTCCAGGTGTCACGGCAGCCGCGGGAGCTGTGGCCGTGGCCGGGCAGAAGCTCCGCCGCCCGGTGCGGTCTGCTCGCCCGGAGCGCCCGCCGGTTCCCGGTGGCGGGGCCAGGGGGCTGCTTAACCGGGTATCTCCTCCGGGTTCCTCCCTCAGTGCGTGGCTGTGTGTTTGCATTGAGACACACGTACCCCCCCGCCCCAGCCGGGAGAGGGGAGCGGGATCTGGTGATTAAGCACAGCCCATGTCTTTCGTGAGTACGTGTTGCTGATTTATTTCCACTATTTAAGTGTTTTGTAAGCCTGGGGGACGCGGCCGTAATACAGTGTTGTAAAACTAATTAATTATGCTCCAAATCGTGATTAAAGTCCTACGAAGAAGTCGTGGGGGGAGGGCTACCAAGCAGCCTGAGTGAAAGCAGCTTGATTTGTCAAACTGACTTAATCCTCTGGTTACTGTGTTTTTTTAAAGAGTGCTTTCACTTGATAGAAGCACTTTTAAAGAAGCGCTTGCATCCTTTAAAGAACAGCTTGCATCCTGACTAGGTAACTTTGGAATTTTGGGCTTGTACAAAAATACTTTTTAAAAAAGTATTTATTTTAGATTGATTAGGGATACATGTATAAAAATTGCTAATGTAATTCTCTTGTGCAGTTGCTCTAATTACCTTAATTTTAATGAAGTGTGTTTGTGACAATGAAAGACTTAAGTCATTTTCACTAATAGGCTTAAAGCAATATGTTGAAGGCAGAGTAAAAATAATGGGTGTTTAAGATTGTATTGAGAGAATAATCTGAGAGATCAAATGTATGGGTGAGCTAGTTGAGATAGGTTACTACTGAATGCTTACTATCATTATTAAATACTAATTAAACATCAGTAATTTGAAATACTAATTAAACATCAGTAATTTGAATGTTCAATGTTACTGTTTAATCTTCCATCTGAATAAAAAGCAGGAAGCATAGTAAGAGACTAGTTTCTGGATATATCTTGAGATCTTTAAAGGCCTTAAACCAACAAGGGTTCATCCAAAGAAAACGAGAGCAGGGAAAAGAGCTTGTGAGGCAAAATGAGTAGTGCAAGTGTGAAAATCAGGGCATCTAAGGTATGAAATCCTCTTCTGTTAAGAAGAACAGGAAAAACAGTCTTAGAAATCATGGATGTTGCAAAAATGCTGGACTAGTCAGTGCAGCCTTGGTTTGGTTTTACTGGAAAAGTTGTAGTCGGATACTTGCTAAAACTGAATAAAATGATATGATGGGAATGCAACCAGAATAATAATTTAAAATATAAAGAGCAAGGCTAGCTGTGCTTTGATCTCCTGAAAGATTCTGAGGAGGTGGTTTGGGAGGAGAATTTGTCAGTAAGTAGAAGACAAAACCAATGTGCAAACAGAAACTGGACTAGTTTGGTTTGTTAAGAACGGTCTGGATCTAAGTTGTTGGGTTTTGTTGGGTTTTTTTTTAACAGTAGTCAATGAAGTCAGTGAGGAGGGAATATAAATGGTTTGTCTTGAGTTTTACAGGTTTCTGTCATTGTCTGGGTTGATGTTAAACAAGCTACTGAAATGTGGTCTAAAAATAATTTTTGTGAGATTTTGTACAGCTGGTTGAAAAATTGCATTTGAAGCTGACTTGTAAATAATTCTTTTTGAGACGGAGATGTCATGACATGTCCTCCTGATGAGTTCTGTTTTGAATGTATGTTCATTGTTTTCAGTAATGGTGAAAACAAAATAGATACGTTGCCAGGTTGGAAGGATTGCAAGCACTGTACAGCTCAGGGTCAGAATTCAAAATGATCTTGAGAAGAATGATAGCAGATTGGAAATCAGTGTATTTAAGCTCAGTTAACAACAACTGAGGGAGGAAGAGAACACAGGGAGGAAAAATCAAAGGCATAATTAGTGGAAAGGGCATTACTGAACAGCAAACAATATCCCAAAAAAGCAGTTGAGCACTGTAGTGTGTAGTAAATTAAATATTAATTGATAATATGATGTCCTTTCGACTAGACAAATGTTATTTTGGCAAGTTAACTGGTGTGACTGAATATAAAGATGAGGAAAGTGATTACTCTGCTCTGTTGAATAAGGGCTTTGGCTAAAATGGTATGGCTATTTTTTTAACCACAATAGGTAGATCTCTAGACTCTGCAAAAATTCTAGGTTTATAAAACTTGGTTTGTGAGGGAAAGTTGAAAGGCATAGGCACATTAGAAAAGAAGAAACTAAGCAAATTTGATGAGTGCCCTCACATCTATAAAAGAGTTGCTATGTAAAGGTTAGTGATTAACTAGTCTTCGAGTTCTCTGTAGAGCAAGAGAAGAAATTATGCTTGTTTTTAGAAGGTAATACTTGGGTTGGATGTTAAAGCAAAACGTTTGGATTTTAGGTTGATGAAACACTGAAGCTGGCTGCCCACAAAGGTTGTGAAATCTCTTTTATTGAAGCAAATTGCTGGACAGACATCTGTTGAGGACAGTCTGGTCTCTCAAAGGTCCTTACAGGTGTGCATTTAAAAAGTTCTGTGCATTCTAACATGGTGGAATTAGAAATTTTAATTTGAGAAAACTGCTTTGGAATCTGCAAAAGTTTCCTTGAGCCTGGATTTTTATGGAGCTTTAGCAGGAAAGGACTCTGATGGATCCTTATCTATCTCCTCTTCAGTGTAATGCGGAAGAGTGTGTGTGTGCTTAGTGAAGGGTTTCCTTTCAGGTATGCACCTTTTAAAAGTGTCTTCCACCGGTATACTGAGAATGACTTGTCTGTTCTGATTGTGAAAGGTAAACTGTTGAACTGTTTAAATCCATTCCACCCTCTTTATAAACCGTATGTTTGTTAAAACATCTTTATGGGCTGCTACTCACAGGGATGTTCTCTGGAAGAGAGCAAACTTCTCTAAGGAAGATGCCAAGGGACAAAGAGTTCAAGGAGGGGGGAGAAAAGCTTAGCTGCTTGTCTTGATCAAAGGATGTGCATACCATATAGTGGAAAGTGGCAAAATGAAAGTTTGACATTGATCATGTCATCAAGGCATTAATATATTAACATTGTTAATATGGAAACAGCAGCCTATTAATGATCTTTCAGAATAGCTGAATGGGAAAATTGGAGATGTGTCCAGCCAATGCTCCTATAGATGCAGTCTGTCTTTCCATTTTTCAGCACATGTCAAGGAGAAGGGCTTCTAGACAGATTACCTGTTTTTACACAGCCTCGGGGGGTGGGGGGAAAGACAAAACAGTTCTTATTCCATTATCTTCTTGGGCTAAGAATTTTTTTTTATTTTATTTGGTGACTTAAATTACTTTTAATGGTAAGTATTTGTCTCTTGTCCAAAATGAGGTACTTGTACTTTTGCTAGTAATATGTCCAAAAGTATTACTTGAGTGAGCTCTGTATTATTTTTCCTTAGTACTTCCATCAGCCTTCTGCTTTTAAAATTCTTAAGAGTATTTGGAAGCTTCAGCAAAGCTATCCAGAACGTATTGTTACTAAGCTGGTTAAACAGAAGCTCTGTCATGAAAAACTGATTTGGTTAGTTCAACTCATTAGTTCAAACATTAAAGATTTTCAGTCTTTGACATTACCAGTGCACAGTTAGTGGCTCACTTATTTGCCAGCAGTGGTTTGGAGTTGAAATCTGGATCTTGAGTACCTTTGCCTGTTAGATAGGAGGAAACAAGCTCAGTGTTAAGACAGTAGGAAACTTGCATGGTGGTTCTTGCAGTATGTTTCAGACCCCCAAAATGTGTGCCTCAAACTTTTGTGAACCAGTGCAATACGAATCTTGGCAGTGTTAAGTTATTTAGAACTTCCCTGTGTGTGCTGAAGCTTGTAAGAAATCTCAACATCATTGTCTTAAGGGATTATGCATACTTTAAAATTTTAGTAATTTTTCTAAAAAAAGTGTAATCAACTTTCTGAGATAATCTGACTGTACAATGTAATTTCTGTCATTTACCTTATTTTGGTGGGTTTTGATGGGATGTTTGCATGCTCCTTATGTCTTAAGGTTGGGTTTGTCATTAATCTGACAATAGCTATTTCTAGGAATGAAGATGTGACTATCAGATTTGGAGTTTTTAATTTTCTCTTGATGTCAAAATAATGAAGGAGTGTGAAGACTTGCTGGTGATAATATTCAAAAGATGTTTTGTATCAAATGAGTAATTTGGTTTTACTTTGAAGTTGAATTTTCTATGTATGTTTTTAGAGGTAGGAAGAACAGCATTATTGGTTTCTGTATAAATCTGAGAATTAAAATGAATGCAACTCAACCTTTCTTAGTTGCTTCATTGTCACAAAAGTAACAGAATAGCGCAGAGTTTGGACTAGTAGGTGATTTGAGCTTTAAAATTCATGAGTCCAGGAAAATAGTCTCCCCAGTGCTTAATAAACATAATTTGAATTTTGGTGTAGGATGGGTGTTGGACTAGATGATTTTTGAAGGTCCCTTCCACCAATCCAAACCATCCTGTAATTCTGTGAAAAATGTTTGTTTTTCAGCTAGCTGTGAACTAAGTGTTTTGTAATTTTTTCCAAGACTGTTTTAAATTCTTAGAAGACTAGAATACTTGTGACATTGAGTTTTATTGTTGCTATCAATAAATTTAAAGTTGTATTAAGTAGCAACTAGAGTAAGTTATTTTCTGTTCTAGTCTATATTCTCAGATACACAGGTTTGTGGTGTAGCCAATTCAATATAGCACAACTACATTTTAAAAAACCTATTGTAAATACTTGATAAAAGTTTAAAACAGACAATGTAACACTTAAATACAGTGACTAGTGAAGATTTATGTGCTAGTGTCTTGTTATAGGAATGGCTAAATGGATTGCCTGTTTAATTTTTTTAATAGGTCGATTTTTTTTTTTTTGAACAAAACTTTGCTGCATGGGCAAGGACTTTAAAACACCTTGTTGCACGAGTTTCTTCTTAGTTGAATGGCATTGGGATTAGTATAACTGTGAATTATATGAATATATATGTGGTATCTGTAGGATTAGCTGTGTAGTGTTCACCTCACTTTCTGAGAGGATGTGTTTGAGCAAGGCTTTCTGTTTGTGGTCTTTTGTGACACTTGCTGTTGTCAATACTTAGATTTTACTACACATGTAATTATTTCTTCAGATTTTTTATGGTAGTCAGGAGTGCAGTAGTCTTGTATATGAGAAAGTAGCAAATAACCCCTGGAAGTCTGTCTCAAGTCTGTTTGCCAAATGAAAAAAAAAAAAAAATTAGCCAAGGGCCAATAGAAAGTGATTGGTGCGGACAGCGATGTACACTACAGAATTCAGATTTCCTGTGTCTGACAAAGTTTTTGGCTGCAGAGTTATCCTTACGTAGAAAATCTTGTCTCTGCCTTATATCACTTCTGTAGCGGGTAAGGTCTGTATCCTGTGGATATCAGTCTAGTTCAGTACCTCATTCACTATCTAGGCGCGTGACTGGAAGACTTCTGAGGTTAGCAGAGTGTAATACGATGTCATGCATGTAAGCAAAGGATTAGAAGTCAACTCTTAATTCCCTGACTCTTGAGTGCTTTACGTTTAATTTAAGCTTTAGTGTAGTTCCTTGCATGGAACTTCTGTTTGTTTGGAATCTTTTTTTTTTTTTAAAGGTCTTTTAAGCTACTTTCTAGGAAGTGTGAGGTGCTCCATACTATATGAAACCCAACATGATTATGTTGTAGTATATATGGCAGTAGTCTAGGTGTTGAGACTGAATGTGATTACTTGAGCAGTGCAAGTCACATATTAATGATTCCAGATGAAGTTGTGAAGTTAAGGAAACGAATCATGGATAAATGTGGCAATAACCAATCCCTACCAAATTAGAGACTAAGCGATTTGTTTAAACTCTCATTTCCTATTTTTAAAGAGAAGTTATCTCCAGGAGGACAGGCTTGCTCTAGCTTCTGAATAGGCTTCTGAATGTGCGGATTAAGAAAACTCCTAAGTGTATGTGGGGGGGCGAAATGAAGTTATATTGCTAGCCTTTAAATCAACAGGGTCTATTTTAATTTTTTAAAAAACAAAGAAAACCGTAAAAAACCAAATCCCGAAACCCTGACTAACTCTATATGTATGAATTAGAATGATACAAGCAAAATATCTTATAAATGTTCCAAGTGTGTATTGAATTTTTAAAGACACAAAATTTAATGTATGTGGAACCTCCTATTTAAAGTTGTATTTTATTTTTTACTTTATATATATATATTATTATATATAAATAAAAGGTTCTACAGACATGCAGAAGTGTATACTTATATGAATATATGTGTGTATGTATAAACCACATATTCTGTAGACTATTATGTAAGTGTGAGGCCAAAGAATTAAAGTGTCTGTATGAACAAACACAACCCTTTAATTTTCCCATCAAGCTAAAAATGTATCAACTAACTCACTTGTTTTCTTTTACTAGAAATGACTACCCCAAACAAGACACCACCTGGTGCTGATCCAAAGCAGTTAGAGAGGACTGGTACTGTTAGAGAAATAGGCTCACAAGCAGTTTGGTCTCTTTCATCCTGTAAGCCAGGTAAAATCACAATAAGTGATGTAAAAAGCTGAATGTACATTTTTCTTCTTGGAATATATAGTGGTTTATGTTTTGGCAAGAAGACATACATACAGACTGTAGCAGTAAAACTGCTGTAGTGTAAGCTGTATGGGTAGCCACTACAAATAATTTTGGCCTAGTCTATATTTGATGCAATATGAAAGCTATAACTATATCAGAAATCCTACAATGAGGAAATATCTCATATTAACAAAACGGGCCTTTTACTGATTTTATACTGAATTGGTTTTTTTACTTGCACAGTGAACAAACTAAACCATGTGAGCAGAAGCACACCCAGCACTGTGTAATTGTTTCTATGCTTTGGCATTTTGCCTGGGTATCTTTGATTTTTAACTTAGAAAACTCATGCAGCTGGGAAACCTGAATGTTCTGTCCAAACTTTGTGTGGACTCAGCCATTGTAGTGTAGCTCCCTAAAATAGTGCAAGTAAAATGACATTATTGTAAATGGTCCTGAGGTGCAGTTAATGATAGCTTATAGCTGCTCAAAATATGTGAAAATCTGTATTCTTTTCATTTGAGGTGGCTGAGTTGCTATTTCAGAAATATCTGTTGGGAATTGATCTGGTATTTTGCTGCAGCCTAGAGTCAATGATCCCTTTATGTCACAATATTGTGCTCAGGCTGAATGTCTTTGGTCCGATATCCTGGTATCTTACTTGGAGAAAAATATCATGGTTTAGTTGCTTCAGAGTGAAGATAATTTTTTATTGCAGATTAAACTTCAACTGCTGAATTAAAACAGCAGCTAGTGTGGGCAATCAATAAAAGGATGTGATTAGTAAAAGGGCAGATAATGAGGGAATGGAAAAATAAAGATTTGGAGTTGTTCCGTTGAATGTGACAGCATTAACTTTCAGGAATACTGTTTTTGGCATCTATTGCTTGTTCTAGCTACTAACTTGCAATGTAAAAGTATTTCAGGAGACTAGTTGAAAAGAAAATGTTATATTTGGCTAAAATTTTATAATAAATGAATGGTCTCTGCTAATGATTTTCCTTTAGTTCAGCAGTTAAGATTATAGACTAGGTGGAAAAGTCTAACCATTAAGTATTGTTCTTGCAAATAGTATGAATTACTACTTAACCATTTGGAATTCTAGGACATGTTGAATGGTTTCAAACACCACAGGCTTCAATAGGAGATAAGAATGTAAAGACACTCAAGTGTCTTTGATTGACAGGTTCCCGTGATTCAGTTTTGTGTCACAAAAGCATAGGCACAATTTGGATATCTAGAAATGTTGCCGTATATGTTATAACTTAGGACATGTACTTTAGTTTGTAACAGCTGAAGAAAAGTTACATCTGTGATATCTACATCATGGAAATGGGATTTTCAAAACTATCACATTTTCTTTTTCTTAGGATTTGGAGTGGATCAGTTACGAGATGATAATCTAGAAACTTACTGGCAGTCAGATGGATCACAGCCTCATTTGGTGAACATCCAATTTAGGTATTAAAAATTACTCTATATGGGTTAGGGTGTTTTGTATAACTTTATTGATTACTGTTCACCAAGATAGGAATTTTGGAAGTGCAAGGACTCCTGGGTTAATCCTCTTACCCAACTGGTAAGAAGCCAGTTAGCATTTATAAAAATGACATTTTCAAATGTTATGGTTACTAAATGCCTAAATAAGCAACAAGAAGGAATGTTTAATAGTATGTAATTTGTAACAGTTTAACATTTACCTACCTAAGGTGACATTTTTGTCCTGACTTTCTGTCTTTGAATGTAATTTGAGGGGTAGATAGCTGTTTTTAAAGTAGTCCTGTATGGCTTAACAACTGATTATTTTGAGAAACCTTTTCCTATTAAATTCTGTGTAGAATGCTTTCAGTCCTTTTTTGTTAATGAAACTCTTAAGATAAGGTTAGATGTTTGTCACCTTTTCTTATTTGCTTTCTGGAGAACTCTTTGGTATAGTAATAGAGCCCATATTTCATAAGCTAAACATATGCTTTATTGCATACAAGTGCTTATTTGGTATCTTGGCCTTCATTGTATTTCTTGGTATACTGGCATTTCGGAAGGCAGACAAAGGAGAACAGTGAAAAATCAACTCTGTGCATAACTTAATGTGGAAAAACACCTTGTCGCTTTGACAGCAGGGTTCTTACAAATCAGTAGACACACTTGTATTAAGTTTTAGAACATTTAAATCCTTAGCTACTACAAACAAGCAACAAACTCATGCTGAATATTTTTCTATACAATGCATACATACTTTTGTTGCTTCTTGCAGAAGAAAAACAACAGTGAAGACATTATGCATTTATGCAGACTACAAATCTGATGAAAGTTACACTCCGAGCAAAATCTCTGTCAGAGTAGGAAATAACTTTCATAATCTCCAGGAAATCCGGGTAGGTCAATGATGCTTTGCTTTTCATCTTAAAACAGTCCTCTCTCATTAGGACATCTAATGTAGTAAAATTGGTTTTGGAGGTAAAATATGGCAATGTGCTTGCTTGGAGGGGGAAAATGGCTGCATTTATTTTGATGTTTGCTTTTAGCTTTTATCTTGTAAATTTACTAGGCTGGTTTCTGTTTTTATCGGGCTCCAGTACCATCATGGTTAAAACCAGACTAAATGTATAGACTCTGTAATGGAATAAAGAGTGGGGTTTTCCAGAACAGGCTGAATTAGAATTGGTTAAACTTTGATCTCACTTAAAATATCTGCAAACACTATGCATTGCATACATCAAAAGGGAGACTTGGCTTTTAAATATTTGCATTTTTAGACTTAACTTGAAATCATGCTTTTTTTTTTTTAATGAATGGGTTACTCAGCTATTGAGTCTCACTAGGAATCAGAATTTAAAACTACAGGTTTTGGTTATGGCTGTGTATGGTGCATAAATATCTTTGGAGTCTGGATTTCATTTTTCGAGGCTGCATGTACTCTTATTAACTAGTAGCAACTGATTCAAAGCTCATTTTGAGACCCTGGCAAAAAGAAATTGGGACACAAGGCCTGATGATCAGTTATGAAGAAGTTTCTTTGTATTCTACTGGTTAGATAATCTTCATGTAAGTGAGAATCTGTTTCATATTTGCTAACAGCTGACTCCAGCCAGTACTGGTGGTGAAAGCAAGCGGAATTGCAACACTAACTTTTCCAAAATCATATACAAAGCAAGCAAGATACCAATTTAAATTGGAAGTCTAATGTAAATTGTAATCAGTTGTGTTCATAAATAGTGTTTTACTTTTGAGTATAGTTTCTAATATTTTGCAATGCTTTTTTTATACTGGAGAGTCACTGAGATGTAGAAATTTTGGAAGGGATGCAATATTTCTGTTTTTAACAGTACGATGCAAAATCCAATTTCCATTTCTGTAGATATGACATTTGATGCTTAAGACTTCAAATGGGACATAGATTTGTAGTGTTTTGTTAATGTTTTTATTTACAAAAGTGTAATAGTCAAAGCCAGTGTCTTTTCAAGGTGACACTTCTGGACAGAAAAAGTTTCTTTGGAACAACTGAGATCAGATTTGAGTTGCTTTAACTGCTTGGTTTTGCTAGCCTTTTGGTAAATAGTAAAAGCAGGTTTAAAATATGATCTTTGTAGATGTCCACCTTGTAAACTAATCAGGTTACTCAGGAGCAGGTATCTGTTAATTTTGAGTTATGGTAGCCTCATGTTTCAGATTCCTCTTCTCTAGAGCTCAGCAGCAAACTGGCTGATATATTGGGAAGGTTTAACTTACCTCCCTTATATGGCAGGTATTACAGTAACAGGAGGACTGGAATGATGAGAAAAGGGAGGTGCTAAATGGTGGCTTAGATTTTTACTTCTGTGGTTTTTATTGTTTTCACTTTGTTTTTCAGCATTTGAATTCCTAGCAAGTGCAACTTATTAGAAGGTTGTAGATGCAGTGGGAGTAGAAAGTATAGTAAATGCGTATACTTTTATTATGTTGGCACAATGTATCTATCTATATCTTTTCAATGGTTCATGATGTTCCCTCAAGTTTTGACCTATACTTGTATCCTAAATCTTAAATGGAAGGGTCTTGACTCTGTTCTTTCAAAAGAATATTTAATTTAAAAAAAAAAACCGAATCACCACATTACTTTGACTTTCATCAGCTGCAAAGTCTGTCTTTTAATCTTCTGAATTGCATCGTTGCAATTTGGGAGTTGCGCATTGTGTAACAGTAACAGCAGCTGATCTTTTTCCTTGTTAGGCTATGGGTCTGTTTTCCGAATGTCCACTAGATGTCATTGTTGTCCTTAATTATCAGTTTGATTTTGTGCTTGTGGTCTAATCTTCCAATACCTAAATGATTATCCTTTTATTATAATGTTTAGTACAGCATTATACATATAACTGCAACAACTTGAGTTTCTTCTACAGTGGCAAACTTCCACTTTTAAGGGCATATGTGTTATTATTATACATTTTATTTTTTCTATAGATCTTTGAGCATATTAGTCTTCTACAGTTTCTCAGGCAATATTTCTTCAGCTTTTTCTTGCTAAACACAGGATTCTATATATAATGTATTTAGTTAAAAAAGGCACTTCTAAATGAAACAAGTTACTAGTATCTTTTATAGTATATTAATATGATTGTAATATGTTGCATGAGAGCAGTAATTCTTATGCATACCACAAGCTCATATGCTTTTTTACTTCAAAACTGACAGGACAATATGGTCAAGCTGCTTACTAATGAGATACAATACTTTGATGCTGTTAAATACTGGTGACTAACTTTTGTTGCCACTGTAATGTTAAATATTGCTATCAATTTTCATATTTCCTAAACCACTTGATATTCAGAATGTGTTTCTTAAATTTTCCTTCAGTCCTGCAATTTTCTCTTTTCTTCAGTTTCTCCGACACATAGGCGGGTTATTAAAGCAGTGTGAACTGTTATGAGCTCTTTAGAGAAATCTGCTTAATTATACAATGATTCCATTGGCTTCAGAACTGATTAACCGGGTGGAAAATCCAGCTCAATCATTTTATATTTTTTCCATGGATTCTTGCCCAGCTCTTAGTGTTTGATGGAAGTCCTATGATGTCTCCATGTGTTTTCTTCCTAGTGGTCTAATTTTCAAAACAATGCAATGTGCTGTTAGGCTACGTTTTATCACTAATATAAGATTAGCTTTAGTTTATGGTCTAATATGTAGGCATGGCCTTTTTGGAACCTAAGATGAAATTATTTTCTGAATAAAAGTTGTGGGGGTTTTTTGTTTTTTTTTTTTTTCCATCTGAGAAACAAGTCATTTGTACCCCATCCTGTGGGTGAGAACAGACATCATAATCTGGCAGTATTATTCCTTTGCTCAGCTGGAGGAACTACAGTTAAGATGTGTGCAGTAAGCCTTCTCCTCTGACTTAAGTGCCTTTTTATCACAGCTGTCAAACTTGGAGAGCAAATATTTTCTCATTTCCAGTCTCAGAGTTCTCCCACATAATAGTCCAAACAGTCTGGATGGACAAGATAGCCTACAGAGGCATTTTTGGAACAGCATCCAGACTCTTCAGTATGTGATTTAAGTTATTACTCTTTCTCATGATACAAAAGTAATCCATTGTAAAGAATGTGAGTGAAATGTTGGCTGCAAGAGATCTCTGGTCTCTTCAAATAACGCTCACCTGCTTGTTGCCTTTGTACCTCTCCAAGACATTTAGATTATCAGCAGTTCATCTTGCCATAAAAAGTATAAGTGTTGTGATGCTAAGTGCAGGCAGAATTTCAGCTTATATTCACCTAGTAGTTTCAATGGCTTCTGCTGTCAACCTATAATGTAGGGACTTTACACAGCAAAGCAAGACACCTGTAAACTCTTGTATTAGCCAGTTCTACATCTTTGGATATAAAAGACACTCTGGGAGGGTGTGGGTCAGACTTCCTGAAAATAATTACTCACTTCTTGCATTAGTTCACATCTGAGAATCCACTGGCGTTTAATCCCAAAATTAAAGTTGCTTTAAGAGGCAGAACCCCTTCTGAAAGAGACAAAGTCTTCTATTCTGCTGTGCCCTGTAGAGGACTCAACAACAGAATGTGGTGTACATGTCTTGGCTGTAACTGGTAAGATGCGACTAGATAGGTATAATTTCCTTCCTATTCCAGTAAGAGTTAGTTCTTCCAGCATAGTTTTTGGACTTCCCCATGATTTTTGATTTGGAGTATGTCATGTTTTTCATTTAGTTTTTTGTGTAGTTCAGAGAAACTGGCAAGCTTTGTGATAGGACCAAACCATTGCTAGTGCATGGTATTGCTATGTGTGCTTTGCTTTTCAAGTTGCTTAAGGGTAGTAATAATCCACATGGCAGGTAAGATGTATTAATGTTCAGGCCTAAAAGGAAAGATCAGAAGTACCCCATTGGAGGGGGGGATAGGAAGCCTCTGGCTGTGAATGTGCTCTCTTTATGCAGTAGGGAAAATCTGCAAACAGATAGCATCATGGCTTTGTGTAACCTAGAGAAGCAAGATGTTTGCTCTCAGCTTCTTTTGGAAGCCATTCAGTCTGAAGCAATGCTACTAGAACAGGGTAACTCCCCTGGTTAACAGCATTTATAGGTATGCAATGCTCTGTCACTGCGCAGGGATGGATACCTAGGAAAAAGACACTTTGTCACTGGAGGTCCTATGTAGCAGACTGCATCAAAGAATGATACGAAGTATTAAACATTGCTTTGGAAGAGGCCTGCTTTACACTTTCCTCCTGGAACAGTTGCTGTACACTTTCCTCCTGGAACAAAAGCCTACTTAACCTTTTCAACAAGACTCAGTTCTGAAGATGATTTTGAAGACTGAGGTGAAAGCCCTGTTATCTTAATATGTCTTTGCTGGCAACAGTGGGATTCCTTTGTTTTGGCTTTTTGTTGTCTTCTGTTGAATTGATGTCTATTTTGTTTTCAGTTTGTTTTCTAGCCCTTTTGGTCTTGCTTGGTGTTTTGTAACCAGGTGCTCCAGAGCTGTCATGAGCAGAGCATTCTCCCTGGTGGTGTGCTGTTGTGACCAAGCACCACGGACAGGGCCACTGCTTCACTGTTTTAAGAGATTCGGCACAAGAGCAGGGAAATCTCAACCACAGGAGTGCCCAAACTGGGGAGCTTTTCCAAGAGGTAGTTAAGGAAGTCTGACCTTATTGTCATCTCTTTACTCCTACATTGTCCTGTGATTGTAGTGAAGAGGCTGGACTCTTCTGGACATTTTCTGAAATTCAACAGCTAGCAATCTCGACCTGCTTTCTGTATGTGGAGTAAACTTAGATACTGAGGCACAAGAAGAGGCTAACTTGTCATAGGACTGTTGCCAGCTAATGAATCAAGAAAGTGTACTGCTTCTGAGTCTCTGATCAAACATCTCTTAAGGTGCATTTTAAACTG